TAATTGGGGCCATCAAACCTGTAAAACTCTCTCTGCCTTGAGGAACAAATATGCTGTATTTGGGGGCATTAAACTCTGGTTGAACCACAGATGATGTTTCCAAGAACTGACTCACAGGGCTCTAGTCAGGAACAATTACAAATATAATTAACAATTTGTTTTTGCACTGCCTCTTCTGTAAAAGCAACTTTGTGATTTGTTCCATGGCTTAGTTTGAGAACAAAGCCATATTAAGGAAACAAAGAGTGCCAGTTAGCTAGGAATTAATATCAGTGATAGTAGTTATTCTGTTATTACTGACCAAATTAAATAAATTCATTTTCAGCTGATGCCAAAGCACAAGCTTGCACAATCTGAATCCTCAACCATGCAACAGGGGAAGATGAAAGGATAATTAAATGCTTGCATAGCCTGTGCCTGTGTACACAGACCTCTTCATCACTGACGCCTACTTAAGAGCTGCACTCTTTTTCCTTGTAGAAGGTGCATCACAGCTTCTTCCTTTGCAATATGGTCTTAAAACAACCAAATGGGTGTGGATCCTTGGACAGTGTAAATTCCAGTGGTTTATTGGATTTCATTGACACCTCTTTGTGCTCTGTGTGCCTGTAAGGCAGAGCACTTCAATACCATTGAAGTGAGGATTGTTTAGGAAATCGAGCAAGAAACATACACTATTTGCATCCACTAGAGACAGACCACAGATCTGCAGTTTCAGCAGCTTTATCCAACACCTCACCCCACCTGTACATTACAAATTCATGTGAACTCCTCTCAGTGCCTACTTAGAATCGTAGAATCATTTAGGTTGGAAAAGACCTTTAAGATCATCAAGTCCAACCGTTAACCTAACCCTGCCATCCCACCACTAAACCACGTCTCTAAACACTATGTCTACCCATCTTTTAAATACCTCCAGGGATGGGGACTCGACCACTTCCCTGGGCAGCCCGTTCCAATGTTTAACAACCTTTTCTGTGAAATAATTTTTCCTAATGTCCAATCAAAACCTCTCCTGGTGCAACCTGAAGCCATTTCCTCTTGTCCTATGGCTGTTACTTGGGAGAAGAGACCCACCCCCACCTCACTACACCCTCCTGTCAGGCGGTTGTAGGAGGCAATCAGGGCCCCCCTCAGCCTCCTCCAAGCTGAACAACCCCAGTTCCCTCAGCCACTCCTCATAAGACTTGTGCTCCAGACCCCTCACCAGCTTTGTGGCTCTTTCTTGGACATGCCAAATTCTTCATTCTGCCTTTTTTTAACTCGTGAGAGTGTCAAGAGTGAAAAATAAGTCCAGAAGTCATTAATACTCCCCAAATTCAGCATGTAGGGCGAAATTGCTCTAACTGCTACCTTAGCTAGAGAAGCCATTGGGGCACAGTGAACCAGCTGAAAGTCTGCAAACTGTGAGAGCCACTGTGCTGAGGAGGTCCCATGGAGTGCACCCTGTCTTGCTTGATAACGCCTCTCTCCCAGTGGCAGACCAGCCACGGAGCAGACAGGGGCTACGTTACCCTGTGGCCACATTGCCGGCCCAGCAGAGCTCTGACAGCCGTGGACCATACTGCTATGGGTGATACCTACAGAATCATAACAACATCAGAACACCCACATCAGGACAGATCAAGTGTTCATCACTCAGAATCCTGTCTCTGATAGAGTGCCCAGGTAGGAGTACAAGGATAAAACGGTAGATACAAGTACAAGAATAAAGCAAGCATCCGCTGATGTTCTGTCAAAATGGTCTTGAACACTCCAGTAATCTGTGGTTGCGGAACATTGTGGGCTAGAGGTTGTATTTCTGCAGTATTATCTGATAATCAGTCTCCCTAAAATCAAAGTGTTGTTTGTCCTAATAAAAGAGAGAAAACATTTAGCAAAAGTCCCTAATCTCATTGTGGTGCTGTGCCTCAGATCTGCAGGTCTTGCTCCTCACATTCACGTGGGTTTGAAAGTGAAATCTGATATCAAACCAAATGCATCTGGCAGAAACTTCAGCTTTATGTATTCCCGTATTTCTGAATCTGGAATATTGTTCTCCAATAGGACAGGGAATTCATTTACAATTTATATCCCATGATTAGATAAGAATGCACGTCCTGACTCCAGCTGAAGTTTTTTTTAACCCTTGCCAGTAATAGACAAAGCTTGTGAGAAATAGGTCATGATTAGCATGACAGCAGCGCTGAGCTGGAGGTGGCATACTCCATCCATCTGCTTAACTTCTGATCCTTTTCTGAAGGGGACTTTTGGCTCCTATGGCATTCGCTGACAAAGATTTCTACAATTTAATTAGGCACTTTGTGATAAAAATGTTTCCTTTTGTTTGCTTTAATTTGCAGTCTTATCATCTCTTTAAGTGCTGCATCATGCTTATAACGTGAGAAATAGTGACTAATCATTCCCAATTCATCTTCCTCTCACCATTCTTGATTTTACTGACTTATAGCATTACCCCTCTCAGCCTTTTATTTTTAAAAGGGAGGAATTTGAGACTCTTCAGTCTCACTGCATTTGTCACTATTCTACCTCTGTTGTTATTGCTTTTTCCCTGTTATCTCCCTTTTACCCTGTTTTACTGGAGACAGGGAGCCCCACACCAGCCAGCTTCCCCCAGACACTTTCCACCTTTGCTCAGAGATAAACCAGACAATGCAGTAATTCAGCCCGAGAGAAAACTCCTTTCTGTTCCAGGGTACTAAAAGGTGTATGATGAGCTGACATGAGATAAGACCAGTTCAGGGTTATGTT